ATATTTTTATTTAAGAAATATATGTCAAATAAAGTTAGTATCTAATAAATATATTCGCCAAATATATTTAAAAATAAAAAATTTAAATATATGTTATAAATCTACCATATCATATGTATATATAAATAATATACGGATCGGATCGGATATTCGGATTTTTACAATTAGTATTTGTGATTTGCTTCGTTTTAGACGGATACTAAATTTTATTATTTGCTTTGTTTTGATTCAAAACGGATATCCGAATTTTTCAGATCAGATCAAAACGAATATCGAATCGGATCGGATTTAACGGATAATTTGTCCAGCCGTAGAAAGTATATTGGTATGTTTAGCACTAGTGACATAGGACGAGTTTAGCTATTTCATAACTTATTTTGAAGACATATAATCAGAGAATAAATTATTTTGAAGTTTTATGTATAAATTATAGTGTTTTTTTTTTTAAGTATATGTAACGCCTCGAGATAGTTTCAAATTAGCTAAAAGGAGTTTCAAAATTTTTTTAGAATTGATAAGGTTACCTTTGCAGCAACTTCGGGAGATCTAGTGAAGGCCTTCATGAGCCAAAGGCATGGCCAGGAATTGAAGTTCATCTTGCTCATCTTCTATCATTTATGGTATATAAGCCGTAGTAGTTTATTCTTTTCGAACATCCGAGCTGTAACAAAGATGGTTTCGAAATAGCAAGGAGTGTGACATCAGATTTAAGGCTTCCTTCTAATGTAGTTCAAGGGGTTCCTTGGTGGTTACCCTATCTCTTCAATAGGAAACGATGTGGAACCTCTTGTTATGATAAGTTATGCTATGTTTTATCTTTGTTTGAGATTACATCTTTTTCAGTTAGTTCTTTTTAAATGTAATTACATATTTTTAATCAGTTTACCAAAGTGATTCGAGATTAGCTAATTCGGACCAATTACCAGATCTATTTAAGATTGATTTTAAAAAAAAAATTAATTATCAGGAGGTTATGGAACAAAACCATAATTTTTATATTAGTTTTGTTTTAAACATCATTCCATCATATGTATGACATCTAGATTTTTTTTTTGTTAATCTTTTCTAAATGAGCTAAAGACACTTGGTACTGATGTGTTTTTTTTAGCTAAATAGAATCAGTTTTATCAGAAAATGTCTTTCATTTGGTAGCTTTTTTTTCCGTAACATTTGCAAAGAATTATGATAACAAAATAAAAGGTAAAGACTCATGCATGCTCTTTGGTCATTTCTTTTAACAATGGTGATTTTTTTTTTTGAATAATGAAAAAAAGTTTTGGTTTCTACTCTCTAGCTGTACTTGAAAGATTTGGGTGTGCTAGAGAAAATATAAAGTTTTAAGATTCCCATTATTTTAATATTAAAACAACAATTTTTTTTTCCAGTACAGGTTCATACTATTAATAAATGTTGACATTGATCAACAAGTGAATTTATTTTTTCCAGGACATGTTCATATGGTTCGTTTCTTGAACGGGTCCAAGTCGACGACTTTATTTCCTTCTTCTCCCTCCAATCGGTCGCCCTATCTCTCAGAAGTCAGGGATGCTTCGATGGGCTCATTTAACCGCAGGGATTCTCTCCGTCGTCATCTTCTCTGCTCTCCTCATAGTCTTCCTCCGCCGCTGGTGCTGTCTCCGGAGACCGGAGATTGAGGAAGCGAGCCCCATACGGAGTGATAGCTTTCAGGCTAGAGTCTCCAAGCTCCACCAGACGAGCCTCATCCACCAACTAGACACCTCCCACATCAAACGCAGAGGAAATATAATCAACCATCAGTCCAAGCCTGGTCTATTCATCTGGTCTGACCACCCGGCTTTGGTTACCGACGTGGTCGAGAATGGTTGGACTCGGTTCGGATTCGTGACCGAAGATCCTCATGTAGTGATCACATGGGAAGTTTCAAACGGTTCCGTGGACTTCAAGCAAACGGTTCAGTTTAATCAGAAGACCCTCAACGCGAGAAACCCGTTGATGATTCTCCGAGGATCTCTACCGCTTCCGGGACCACACTTTGCAGGCTCTGCTTTCCCGCAAGAAGCTTACTTCGAAATCACAATTCTCGAAAATCTTCGTGGTCGTGGTGGTGACGTGGAAGGTGAAAAAACGAAGCTGGTCAAGAGCGATGGTGTCAAAAGTAGTGAATGGGATGCGGGAAGCAAAGAAGGTGTTTTGTCTTTGGGACTAGCGACTGTTGGTTCTGTCCATACACGATTGCCTGGAAAATTCCCGGCTTCTATTGGGTTCCAATCGGACGGTTCTGTTTATCTCGATGGTATGTATTTATACTTATATATTTCCATTTAGAATCATCTAGTTTCATGGTCCGGTGGATCTTCAAGGACGAATTTCAAATCAATTTTGTTGAGAATAGTAAACATTTTTTTAATGTCACGCATAAGATTAGAAGAGTGAGAAAAACAAAAGTTGAAGAAATCAAAAGTTGTTCTTCTTTGAGATCTCTTATTTTCGTTATTGTGAGAAATGGAGACCCACTAAGGAATATAACGTTGTTGTCACAAATTTAAATGATCAACAAACTCTATTTTTCAACTGATATTTGATCCCCCGGCCCACCTTCCGTTGACTTTTTGGTTTGCCGTTTTTTAGAATGATTCGTAAAAATAGAATTGTGTATACTCGATTGTTAAAAAATGATGTAAGTCAATGTTTAGATTAAAATTACAACTGTGATGTTTTATGATATGAGATCAGGAAATTTAAAAGATAATCACTGTGAATATTTAAGAAGAGTGTATGATCAACCATAATTTATAATTTAGGTTATGTACCTTTAATTCACTAAACATTCTAAGCAACTTGTTGGTTTCTTTCTCCTAATGATTGAAGTTCAAATGAATTAATATATAAAATAATCACATATATATATACAGATTAACCACAAATGTGGTAATATAGAAAACATAATAGATGACGTACGTTTGTATATAGAAGCTTAAGCATTACTCTTTGCATGTATATAGAAGTTTAAGCATTAATTACTCTTTGCATGTATCAGGAATGCAGCTAGTTTGTCAATCAGAGAAACATGAGTGGGCAAAGGAAAACAAGGTCGTTGGTTGTGGTTACGATCCGAGCAAGAAGAAAGTTTACTTCACAATCAATTCACACTTGGTTCATGTCATCAACTGTAAAGCAGACGAGTTTGGGACTCCTCTCTACCCAATTCTTGCTTCCAACATAGAGACCACAATTCTTATAAATTTGGGTCAATCCCCATTTTCTTATAGCCCGGCAAATGCGCAGCGCACACCAAATCCTATTCATGTGGGTTCCGGGTTGCATCTCTCGTCAGGTGGGCTTGGGGATAGCAAAGAGCTTTTCTCCATCGGAAGAATAAATTCACAGTATCTAAGCAACTTTTTCACTAACAGAGGAAATAATGATGAGATTGCTAGTGGAAGGACCACCGTGGGAAATAGCCACAGACCCAAGCTGGACTATGACGAAGAATCTGATGCTGATCTTTTTGAGATTGCATTGGAACGTTCTTCTGGTAGAATAAATCCGGCAAGGTTTTAGCATTTTACACGGATCGGATATCATCATTTCTTCTCACAAAGTATATGTTTATTGTACAAATAACTAGAGACTCATTCATAATCAACACATGAACATAGAATTGTTCGTATTCTTTGACAGGTATAATGTTCAAGGATTTGAATGTAAATTTAACATTTACGATTATAAAACTTGGCTTTAACCGTTTTTGTAGCTCTTTGTCTTTCACTGTTCACATCTCCATCACATTTTTGTTTTCTGAAATTTAGAATCCTAGAGATCATACAAGGTAAAGAATTTGTATGGGTCTTTTCGTATTTTTTTTTTAGTTTTTTATTTAGATAGTTCGAGCATATTTGGAAAATGCACTTCATGGAGATCAAGAGGAGTACCAAGAGGAAGGACCAAGACAAAGGAAAATCAGATCAATATGAACCAGTCCCATCAGTGGACCAGGTGAATGGTCATGCACTATGGTCCGAGCCAAGGGGACTCGATCGGACTCTCTCTGGACCAATTTATCACTCAAGCCCATTTCACTGAATCCCAACCATTTCAAGCGTAATGAAGTTTACCTTATTTTTCCTTCTTATTTCTCTCTAAATGTTATGTTAAGGAGGCTAAGTCTAACATATTTATTCATACAAGTTTTTACCGATTTCTTTATCCTTTGGTAATACACATACTCTTGATTTCTCACGTAAATCCAACTGGATTATGGATAAAACTTCAACATTTAATGATTAAACTCTTTACTTTATGCTTTTAATTATGTCTTTTATTTGATCTCTTTATTTTGCTTCCACCACGTTCATATATAGTGAATAAATCACACTTATAGTGAGTAAAAAATTTAAAAAATTGTAAAAAATGTACACTTTTACCAGGTGTTTATTTTGTTCTTGTTTTTTTTTTGGGAAAACAATTCTTGTTAATTTACTACCACTTTTTATATATTATTTTCTACAGCTTTAATACGAATTTAATATGGAAAACGAAAAATTGTTATCTTGTGTCTTTTTGTTCAACACCGACAATATGCCAATATTCACTTGGTTTTGTACTTCTTTATAAACCACGCAGTGCCATGCCAACGATCAAAGAGGCCCAAGGCAATACAAAAAAACGGGGCCTTTGTTTATAAATCTTCAATAATTTTATAACATTACTAGAATAGGACCCGCGTT